TTTTAAATGGTTCTTAAATGGTTTGACAACTTACACTAGAGCACCAGGATACCACTGGCACCGTAACCACTGTGAGCTGTAATGTTTATGGTGCTTGGAGTGTACCTTAAAAAATACATGAAAAGTGGTGTTTTGTACTATATGTTATTGATAATCTATTTTACATTCTAAAACACTAAATAGCCAAAACCCACCACCAAAGTGTCAGAATTTGTATTTATATTAAATACAAGGAGTACGACTCTGAAATAATTTAGTCAATGTAGTTACTTAATTATGAACTTTTTAGTGACAATTACATGAAAAGTGTGATTGGTTATTCAGTGGTTTGGAAGTTGGCAGAAGCAGTGGGAGACATTTTAAGAGATTATGATTTGGAAATAAAGGCAATGCAACATCAATAGCAGCTGGTATTTATTACATAAGGAACTGTTTTATAAAATTTGGGGGTGTTTTACTGAAGATCTGATTGCTTTCCTTACATTTTGAGCAGCCACATTCACTGTAGACTGGCACTTGTGGCAAATTTGAATATCTAAGGGTGAAAAAAAGTACACAAATCTTGTTAAAGGACCACTCTACCCACCCAGACCACTTCAGCTTAATGATGTGGTCTGGGTGCCAGGTCCAGCTAGGGTTAACCCATTTTTATAACCCATTTCAGAGAAACTGCTATAATTATGAATGGGTTAAGCCTTCCCCCTAATCCTCTAGTGGCTGTCTCATTGACAGCCACTAGAGGCGCTTGTGTGCTTCTCACTGTGATTTTCACAGTGAGAGCACGCAAGCGTCCATAGAAGCGTGTAAATGCTTTCCTATGCGACGGCTGAACGTGCGCAGCAGCCGGTCGGGAGGAGGAGGAGGAGGAGCTCTCCTCCCAGCGCTGGAAAAAGGTAAGTTATTACCCCTTTCCAGAGCCGGGCGGGAGGGGGTCCCTGAGGGTGGGGGCACCCTCAGGGCACTATAGTGCCAGGAAAACGAGTATGTTTTCCTGGCACTATAGTGGTCCTTTAATGTGCTTATATATAAAGCCAAAATGGATGACATGTTAATTTAGAGAGCACTTTTGTTTTTAATATTTTAATGATAAATGAATGATCCACTATTTACATTATATATTTTTTTTTACCAGTTATTTAAATATCAATGTAGAAACATATCTAAAGAAAGATTTGTAATCAAGTGCTCTTTCTCTGATAAGCATTTCATATCTAGGTAAAAATGTATGAACTGATTTTGCTGAATATGATACAGGTAAAAAGATATTTGTAGTAGATGTGCATATTTTTCTAATTAGCTTGATAAATACTCTTTGACATGTTATTTTGTGGTTGTTCGTAAATTAGTGATAGTGTCTTGTAAATTCACAATGCTTACATTTTACCTCAGGATTGCACAGCCATTGCAGTATAACTGAACAAAGCAAGCCCTGAAAGGTTAAAACTGATGATGACTAGCGCTGTTGGTTGAGATTTTTTTTTTCTATTGTACATATTTACTAAATGTTGAATCAGTTTCACAAGCATATTAATTTGTTGTTTTTGGCTATATATTCTAATATTGATAACTATTGTATTATAGGCAGGTAATGTTTATATATTTTTAGCCACTAGTAATTTGAAATTAATGCACACATTTCTTCACATTCTCGTAGTGAGATCTCTTATTAAGTACCAAGGTAATGTTTGTTACAAATTTCCATATTTATGCAGCTTATATAAGCAGAATGTTCTCAGCATATGACTGCTATCCAAATATGGACAACATTTCTATTGGTAATGTGGAATTTCTGCATTAACAATACAGAAAGTGAAGGGCCAAGCAGTGGATGTCTGGGTGACACATGCAATCTCACTGCTCAATTCTCTGCCATTTAGTAGTCAAATCACTTTGTATATGCATCCCTAGCCACACCTATCCTGTATGTGACTTACACAATCTCCCTACACATTTCCTGTATTGATAGATCTAAGGCAGGTGTAGACAACCTTCGGCACTCCAGATATTGTGGATTACATCTCCCATAATGCTCTTATAGCCATAATGCTGGCAAATCATGAAGGGGAATGAAGTCTACAACATCTGGAATGCCAAAGTTTGCTAATCCCTGGTCTAAGGTATTTCATTTAGAATGTCATATCTCCTGCAGTTCAATTTGCAGAACAGGAGATAAGAAATTCTAGAGTAAATATACTGTGCTGATTAAAATGAATGCATTTTTTTTCAAATTGGCTATGTAATGGGGATGTGCATGAGCAAAAAATTTGGTTCGGGACTTCCGAAATTCGGGAACTCGGAACTTCGGCTCTTCAGTTCGGTTTGGCACTTCCGAAATTCAGGACTTGGTGCATTGAAAAAGGGTTGTACCTGAAACGTTTGTTTATTATTTTGCCCTCCAATAAATTTTGGTAGCACTTTGTGCACATAGCAACATTTTGTGCAGCCTCTATTTGTTTGATTTGTACTGCGAAATTCAGGACTTCAGCAATTCAGGACTTTGGATATTCCGGACCCTAACCCTAACCCCTACCTCTAACCCTAACCCTACCCCCAACCCTAACCCTAACCCTACCCTTAACCCTACCCTTACCCCTAACCCTACCCCAACCTCAACCCTACCCCTAACCCTACCCTACTACTGCATGGGGCATGATCTATTCACCAAAACTATTTCATCAAAGGGAATCCATAGTCCTGAAAACAACAATAATTACTGGGACTATGCATTCCCTTCTATTGACGTGATCCCTGTCCAACATTAAAAATTATAAAGTTGATCCAGGTGGAACAAAAGGGAGTGTTATCCCACCCCAAGGGGATATCCTATGGTGAAACAAGATGTTTAGGCCAAAAATTCAAACGTGCATAGTGCTACCCAAGTGTAAATTTAAAATAAAAGAGCTCGACACACGTTTCAGTGTGCTAAGACGCCGTAGTCAGGAGAAGAGTGCAACGGCGTCTTAGCACTCTGAAACGCGTTGTTTTGAGTATTCAGGTTTACTGGTTCAGGTAGGCATTAGATCTGTGCGGTGCCGAGGTATATAGGGACAGCAAGAAATTTATTTATTTAATTTTTTTAATTCTTTATTTTTGTAGTGCAGGATTATGTACACAATTTTAAGTAAACATTGTGAAGGATACATCAAGATAAAGCAGTGGTGTGACATACAATAACAGGAAAGAGTGCACTGTTTTTATATTTATGCATGACATGGTGGATCGGCATGTGTCAAACGAGTTTTCAGATGAGCTTATTACAATTACGTTGAGTCTAGTGACAACATTATAAACGAGTAAAGATATGGTGTCCACCAGGAGTATCAATACTAAGATTTGGTCAGGCTAAGTAACTGGTGGGGTATAAAACTTAAATAAAACAAAATGTATGCATGCTGATTAGGTCAAGATATAACTACATGCTAGTTGCAACAGCAAGAGTTTTGGTTACAAGCAATCAATTATTAGACAAGACTGGCTGCAATGCGAGCATGATTGTGTCGTACCAGAACATAAGATGGCCATGCTTTAAAGCTTAGTCGACGTGACTTTCATAGGGTTGGTAGCATATGTTATAATACATTGTGTGATCCTTGTCTGCAGTTAGCACGGTCCTTTTGGGTAGAAACATGCACAGTCTTTAAAGGTAACTTAAGTCCAGGCACTTTATTGTTGAGCTTCTCCACAAAGACAGCAGCACATGAAAACAAAAATGTAACAATACCCTATAAACAAAAACCTAGCTCGGTCTGAGCACTAACTAACATCAAGTTCCCTCTCCCTCAAGGGTTTAATCTATAACAAAACAAGAAGTGGTTTCACCAACCTTGTGTCTTTGTCAGCTCTCAGCATTCCAGTGTTTAGACAGCCTTCTGCTTCCAGCCCTTCAGGAGAGAAATAAACATTCTCCCTCTTTTCCGCACTCCCAGTGCTCCAAGCCAACCTTGACTGCTTTCCTTTTTCACTCCCAGTGCTCAGTCGCCTTGCCTCTCTCCAACCTGCTTCCCAAGAGGAGCCAGCAATCCCCCCTTTACCTGCATTGCAGGGAGGGGTTTATTCCCACTGCTGCAGCTGATTACCTGCAGCTGAGCAGTGGGTTGGAGACAGTTCAAAAAACCCTGGCCTGGATCTATGTCTCCCAAGAAAAACACTAAACTGTGGAGTGGAGCATTGGCCCACCCTGCTCTCCAAATGCTCCACCCCAGGGGCCCATAACTAAATGTTGGTTTGTGTTGCCTACAACACATACAACACGTACTCCCCCTGGGGTTAAATGTTATAGGCCTATCTGCCTTCACGTTATCACAATCGTTAGAGGACAAGATGTGGCAGCATTTATAGCAGGGTAACGTAGAGGCCAGATTAAAAGTAAAGGCAAAATTAAAAGTGAGCCACTGTGACTATTCAAACTGTAAGAGTTTAACTACTATTACATGTGTAAAGCATAGCATCTCATGGTTCCATATACTGCGCAACATGGAACTCATGATTACTGTAGGTAAGTCCTGATTGTTTATCCAATGCCTAAAGCGTGGAGGGCATTGCTGGCATGGTGGCCATCATGCAGGCCTCCGGTATCTTCCTGCCAGAACTCTCTCTCGCTGGACCTCCCTGGGCTAGGAGTTGTAGGTCTGTTGCGAAGTGTTGCGGACCCATGAGGGCCGCAGGGCTTGTTGTTTCTGTGGAAAGAGTCAGCTCTGGAAAGCCTCTTCATGAGGTGTAGCCTCGCAGTCGCTCTTGTTGCAGCATTGGTCGGGGAGAGGTGCTGCGTCGGTAGCTGGATTCGAGGTCAGACGCTTTAGTAGTGTGCGTCACTTGCGTTAAGGTCCCTGTGTTTCTTGTGTGCAGGTGGGAGCGTGTATTTCTCAGGGCCCTCTGGTATCTGCTTTGCCTGACAGCCATCTTTGATGCTCGGGGTACCTGCTTATAATATTTGCGTCTCGCCGCTGGTCTTATCCACAAGGCCACCATTAGGTCAGCTTGTCTGTGGGTTGCCCCTTGGCTTAGCAGGGCTTTCCTGAGGCCTTCACATTGCTGGTCAAACACTGCCATAGGGGACATGTGTGCTTTAGAGCGGGTGCTTCGCTTTGTAGAACTAGGCTGGGCAGCCATTTTGGTTGTACCATGTGGATCTGCTGCCCCGCCTTGTCTTGTGACTGTGTTGCTCTCTTTCTTTGCTGGTCTGTGTGGCCAGAGGGGACCGGGATATCCCACACCGGCCAGCGATTTCGAGCTTGATAGCCGCTGCTTTTGGTCCGGTTTCCACCAGTCGGGCCGGAGCTTGTGTGAGATGCGTCTGCACGGCTTGGGGTCAGACTCCGCCCCCCCCAGCAAGAGATTTTTATTAATGGGGAATTTGTAGCACCTTTATCTTTTGCAACCTCCTGCTTCCCTCTCTGGCGTTTTGGGACACAGTGTACAGGGGAGGTTTGTATGAGTCTAGTTTAAGGATGCAGACCTTCTACCTCTCTTTGTAAATACCCTCTTCCCTACCTGTTTAGAGGTGGACACCACCCACCTCTTATACCCCTGTTTTAATACTGTTTGTATTTTCTTTTTAAGTGGACCATTATTTTTTGTATCATTAAGAATAAAGTTTAAGTGATTTTTTTTTTTACCACTTATAATACTTTTGTGCTTCCTCCCAGTATATCCCACAATTTTGGGTGACACTGGGATTTTGTTTTCATTGTCAGTGATCCCTGTCCACCCACTTTTCTGGTAAAATTTAAGATTTATAATATCTTATCTCATTTTCAGTGCTGAGACTCCACCACTGCATATCTTCTGAAGTGCTTCATGATCTTGTCCAATCCACTGCTTCTGAAAGAAAAGCATAGGACTGGAAATAATCATGCCAGGCCAAATACTGCACTCCTTCATAAAAAAATGCTGCCATTTCAAGACCAAGTTACACTCAGTTCTGTGGGAGGAAGCTGTTATAGTGGCTGTCAGGAAGACAGAGTTGCCTTCAACCCTGTAATATAAACATTGCAATTTCTACAAAACTGTAATGTTTTACTGTAAAGGTTTAAAATGATAGGACCACTGCACCCAGACCACTTCAATGAGAGAAAAGTTGTTTTGGTGCGAGTATCCCGTTCATGTTTTTTAATATTGTTCGTTAAGATTATTTTTATGAAATAAATAACATTGATAAAGTGTTACCAATTACCAAATATGTTTCCTTTTTTATAAAAAAAATAGTATTTGAAAAACCATTAGGTAGTAATGATTTTTAAAAAAAATATATATTTTCATTTCTAAAGCTACTTGGACTTGTATGAAAAAGACGTTAAAGCCCTTCATGAAGCAGCAGGCTGCCCTCATATTCGCTGTTATGTAATTAGTGTTGTTTCATCTGGCATCTGGTTTCAAAAAATGCAAAAAGGCAATTACAAAATCTATTAGTATAAATAAAATAAAGCAACAATGTAAACTTAAAATGAGGCAGAATTCAGTATTTCAGGAACATGTTCAATAAAACACCTGCTCAGTAAACTAAAATGAAGAATTACTTTACAAAATTAAGTGAAGTATGCCTCTTTCTCTGACAGCCATTACACTCCCCTTGGGTATTGAAGCATGCTATGGCTGCTGTTATGTGTAAGGTAAGGACAGTTTTGATGAAAGTAAACTGCAGATGGCATTCATTTTTTATGCAGACTTGCTTCTTCTCTTCATAAAATCAATGGAAGTCTCCTGTAACTAGAACAGCCTTCTCTAACTTGCTGTTATCAATTAGAACCCTAAAGTGATGCCAGTCTAAAAGGGAGATAAATATGGCTCATGTGTGTCATCATACAGTAGAGACACCAAACACAATGTTGTCTTTCAATGGCAAAATTAGACTGTTGTGTATGCTCTTATTAACATGCTTGAGGTATTGCATATGCAGTAAAAAAAATATGTTACGCCATAGAAAGCACTTTCAGTCCATACATCCTTGAAGACTTTGTCGTCAAACTTCCATGATCTATATAATACTATATCATTTGAATAGATAGTTCTATTGTCAGTGCTTTAGATGAATGGGCAACAAACTGAATTTATTCTCAAATATACATTTATTGTGTATGTTTTGCCTTTGAATGATGTTAAGAGGAATCCCACTTCCATTGCAATTATAGAACTTAATAAAATACTGAAAAAAAAATTTCACTTATGTTTGCAATTTTTTGTGTAATGCTCGATATTCTTTTAATTCTATATTAACAAATATGCAAAATATATTATAATCCAGTTCGGTCCAGTTACAGCTTGGGCAAACAATGCAAATAAGGAGGAGAAATATATATATTTTTCTTACTTCTCTCTATTTGTGTGCTTGTTCTATGCTGACTGCCAGGTGTAAAAGATAGAGCTTGTAATAATGATTGACAGGGAGTGAAAATGGAGGCGTATCGTTGCAGGATAAACAGGTGTAGATGTTTACATTCATTTTATTTTTCATATCTCATAAATACTTATTTGCTTAATTTAGGGATCAGTAAATATAATGTTAAAAATCCAGAGAAGTTACAGTTATATTTTAAGGATGCATACATGGATGCCACATGCCATAACTGTAGACAAATGCACTTCCCTTTATAGAAAGCCAGGGGTCATACGTGTACAAAGATTAATCTTGGTTTTAAGCACCATACCGCTTGATAATATAGTGATACATCTCAATAGGTTACTGAGAGTGGGAATTTGGAAAATTATAATTACGAAATAATGAACATACTGTCTATAGAGCCAGTTTAAAGGAGATGAGAAATAACTATGGATGTTTCTAATTGCAAACATATTGGGAATCATATCATATATCCCTAGCAAAAATGTCAATAAAAAATAAAAGGAATGTAAATACAGGTCACATTCTAAGAAAAAAAAATCTGTTAGTATAGATTCATGCATACTGAAGAGTTAGTCTGTAAAGGTCCCTAAAAAGTAAAGTGCTTATGCCCAATCCAGCGCTCTCCAATAAACGTTTGAAATACCAGTAATAACAGTTGCTCAACCAATGCCAGATCAGATCCCAAGAGGTTAATTCCAAATACCTGCCAACAAGTAGTGTATATCTATTCTAAAGAAAAAACATAGTTCAAGCAAAGGAAGACAGATGTGACAGGATTTTATTATATTTCAAATAGATCTAAGCATCTGCCTTTTCTTCATATACTCAAATATATGTTATGCATGCTTATGAATTTTAATATGCAGGGTGTTATTGTCTAATATCAGATTTTTAAACAGTTCAAGCAGTTCAACACTTTTGTTATATTAATGAAGTTAAATTAAAAATAAAAATGCACCTATTAAAGAGAATTTTAATGCAAATGAGTAAACAACCCCAATACTCATTTTTTATTCTAACCACTTTGGAACTGTAGTAATACAGCTATTGAATAATAGTTAAACTAGTTGCCCCCAGATTAATCAAGAAAAGGGACATTTTTGAATATATTTAATAAAATATAAAATAACCAAGAACAGTAAGATCAGTGGTATCCCAAAGACTTTGATAGCTAGAGTTGACTCCTTTCCTCGTAGCATGTAAGAGGGTACCATAAGCAAAGATTCCCAAGATGTAGAATGAGAGAGCTACAATCCTGACACTAAATCCTACCCCGATAGCCAATGCATGGTGGGTTGGGCAGACCAAATGAATGTACTGAAGTAGGGGACCTAGCTGAATAGCACTCATAGCACTTCTCGATCTAAGCATGACATAGTGATGGTAACTACTACTGAGCATATCCTAAAGGCCTACCTTCCACTTCTTCACAAAAGGACAGCACTATACTAAGCCTCCACCTATCCCTTTAGGTTCAGTGTTGATGTAGTTTAACTAAGTGTGACTGTCTCCTTGCTCCTATACTCATCTGTTGGCTGTGGTAAATATTGAGTGATAGGGTCCCCAGAAGTCCCAACTAAGCAATGTGAGCAGTACCTCTAAATATCAATTATTACACAAACTACTATAAGAAACACAATATAATGCTACACTACATATCTTGCAACATTAGCTTTCACACTCAAAGTACTGTCCATAGTCCAGTAGTGCATTTGTTTGTTTAACAAAATGACATCTGTTTTCAATTCCTTTATAGCCCCCAATACAGTATGATTAATCTAATGTTTGTATAATGTCATAAAACGATACGATCCAAAAAATAGTATACATTTTTCATTATTATCTGTTTTCATTATCAGATGTTGGCAAAGCTAAATATTTCTTTATATTTTTCTAATAAATGTTTGAATTAATATTGTCAATTACACATTAATCTATAGAAAGTATTAAAGTACAAAAATGCAATCCTCAACAAAATTTGTTTAGTCGATAATAAAATTAAATCTTTTTTTTTCTAGACTATCATACGAACTTTCTCCAAATATCTTGCAAATACAAAACCAGTTATTTACAAAGCTCAAAACTGCCAGCTGAATTTTGTATACTTGATTACATAGACTAATTAAACAAATTCCACAAGTTAGAGTAGTGAGTAAATGCAAATCAGATGACAATGTCACGATGATTAATCAAAGTTTCCATTGTTAAGAGTTTAAGGTAAATTTAATGTAAATGTCACATTTTGGTCCAATATAGTCAAACTGAAAACAGTGCTGACTTGGATTTTCTCCCACAAATTAGCACTTTTGGTCTACAATGTTAAATTCACTTCTCAATTTACCAATTAGTGAATAACATCGCTTGCCTATTGCTCCTGAACCTTCAGTTTTCACTCAGTCACATTTGGGTTATCTGAGTAAGAAGTACAATTAGAGAATATATTTACAATTAGAGAATAGAGAAGCATGGAAATGTACAATCAGATAATAGAATGTACAATCAGAAAAAGCCAAACAGAATTGATAACAGTCCACAATGTAAAATATAGGACTAGATAAGAAGGCCAGTATTTGAGATACTTATGTATGTATAAGTATCTCAAATACTGGACTTCTTATCTATTCCTATATTTTACATTGTGGACTGTTATCAATTCTGTTTGGCTTTTTAATGTAAGTACAATTTTTATATTTTAAATTTTCAGAATACACAATTTTAAATAACTGTGGTGCAACCTAATAACTATCCGATTGTATACCATGACTAACTGTAACCTAACACAATTTTCATTATAATCACCAAAAAATTACTATATAAAATGTTGTTTTTATTGGAAGGAAGGAATGGAAAAATAAAATAAATATATTATAAATTTTATATTTCCTCACTAAACATAGAAATATTACTTTGTGTAATGCTGTGAGACATATGAAATCACGACCATACATACTTAATACAATACATAAAATCCTCCTGGGGGCAGCATTGAATAGAGCAATTTATTGGGTCTGGAAAATTCCAGCACAGACTTGGAATATGTCAAGCTAGGGATTC